AACGGTGTTAGTTATAATGTAGTGGCAACCCACTAACAGAGGGGGGCGGGACTAAACATTCCAGGGTGAAGGGGACTGAGAAAACGGGTTACAAAAAGCCTCCTAAAGGTGGGCGGAGCAAAGTGCCTTTGTGTGTCAAGGGGTATAAAACAGGAGTGTATGGGTTTTGGCGCCAGAGCTCTCCATGAATAAAAATACAGATCATTCTTGCTGGTTGTGGACCTTGAATCATTTGTGATTAAAACCAGAGCCTTACAACCTCTGGTAATGATTCAAGCTTAGGTTGAATTAGAGATAGAAATTCTCGTGACAATGAAGAAATATTTGTGGAAATATATAAATAATTAAAAAATAATAATAGTTAATTCTATAAAGTAAAAATAAAATCGGCCTATATCCTATTTCTGTTTCCCTTACAATAAAAACATTACAGTGTAATCCATTTGATCAACTTTATTTGTAGATTCAATTAGTAATAGAGTTATAGTACTTAATAAAGTTAATTAACAGTTGATTTTGACAAAGTAGATACGAAACAAATCATAACAATAATAATAATATAACCAGCCAGGTGCACAGGTGAAATGATTTGCTGTATTCCTAAACAAAAGCACCAGTGCATGAACAATTATAAAGGATGAATTGCATAATTAAATATTTGTGGAAATATATTCATGACAAGATCTAAAAACATTAATTTGGTGATTGTATCAGACACTGTACCGCGCCTTTACACATGAATCAATCGCGTCTTCTCTTTATGCTTCGGGTCCACAAACAAATCAAATCGGTTGTCCTGCACACAGTTTTCATTGGCCTTGTTCGGTGTGCACCTGCCAAATTGACATTGTGTATTTTTCCCCAGTGGGAGCTGTGGTGCTTGGGGAAGAGGGAGAGCAGGACCTGCTGTCTTGACATTGTGTCTTTTTCCTCAGTGGGAGCTGTGGTGCTTGGGGAAGAGGGAGAACAGGACCTGCTGTCTTGACATTGTGTATTTTTCCTCAGTGGGAGCTGTGGTGCTTGGGGAAGAGGGAGAGCAGGACCTGCTGTCTTGACATTGTGTCTTTTTCCTCAGTGGGAGCTGTGGTGCTTGGGGAAGAGGGAGAACAGGACCTGCTGTCTTAACATTGTGTCTTTTCCCCCAGTGGGAGCTGTGGTGCTTGGGGAAGAGGGAGAACAGGACCTGCTGTCTTGACATTGTGTATTTTTCCTCAGTGGGAGCTGTGGTGCTTGGGGAAGAGGGAGAGCAGGACCTGCTGTCTTGACATTGTGTCTTTTTCCTCAGTGGGAGCTGTGGTGCTTGGGGAAGAGGGAGAACAGGACCTGCTGTCTTAACATTGTGTCTTTTCCCCCAGTGGGAGCTGTGGTGCTTGGGGAAGAGGGAGAGGAGGACCTGCTGTCTTGGCGGCCTCCTTGGTGACTGGAGCTTCTTTCTCTGCGTTCATGTGGTTCTCACGAAGCTCACATGCCAGATCCATTATGAAATGTCTCCTGCTGACTGTCTTGTCAAGGCATTGCTTGTTCAACACGTGTTGATAGCAGCCATGTTGAGCACATTGTAGAACACTGCAACAGGCCAGTGGAAAGTACCTCATTTTACAGAGTACAGTCTGGACATCTAATAGTAAAAATATGCATGTAATATAATAAAAGGGGATACTATTTGGTGTTTGGCAGATGGGAAGGCTATCTGTATATGGTAGAGATACTGTATATACCTTTGTGTGATTGTAGTCTGTCACTGTCTCCGGTTTCTTCTTCTGGTCACTGCCGGTGGCAACAGTGGGGTGCATGGTGCTGAGGAAGCTAACACTTATTTATTTTACATCTGTACACCGTGAGTGTTGCTTTACCACTCTCCATCACACCGTGAGTGTTGCTTTACCACTCTCCATCACACCGTGAGTGTTGCTTTACCAGCAGCTTCTGCCTTTGTTTGTTCACTGTTCCAAGCAGGCTAGTCTTCTTTACGTTCTGTTTCAGCTCAGCGGTCTCCCCACCCTGATAATTAAGTGTTGGTATCTTCCACTAGATGGCAGTAAAACCTTCTGTAACTAGACTTTACAACCGTATGTGTTTGGTTTCTTGCCCCTGGTGACTCCTGGGCCCTTATTCATAAAGGCAATGTCTCAGAGTAGGAGTGCTGATCTAGGATCAGGTCCCCCCTGTCCATCTAATCTGTTTCATTATGATCTAAAAAGCAAAACTGATCCTAGATCAGTACTCCTACTCTTTATGAATACTGTCACAGGTGACTCCTCAAGATGAGGCTCATGATTTAAAAGTTATATTCTTTAAGAATCAATTAACATCATTAAATGAACTGCTTTGCCATGAACATATCTGTGATGTCTTAACTTAAAGGTACTATATAGTCCTTATGGTTATTTTAATGGGGTTGAACATCAATCCCATCAGATTGTGTAACGTATTTATGAATTCAGAAAAATACTGACTTGGAAGCATCTCTCTGACCTCACCCTGCTGAAACACACTCAAGTAAAGACCACATAGCTACAGTTATATGCTTGTCTGGTTTTACCCACTTTTACAGCCAATGAATGGACTGGTATCCATATGAATCAGTGGAATATACAGACTAGCACCATGATGAGGACTTATTTATTTAATCAATTTTAGAATGCTGTAACGTAACAATATGTGGAAAAAGTCAAGGGGTCAGAATACTTTCTGAATGCCCTGTATCCTCCTCTTTCTACCTGTTTCCTTTTCCTCTGTCTACCACTAGCCTCTCATCTCCAAGACAAATGAATGAGGTGAGAAAAGGAAGAGGTGGATGTGCTGCGGCGGCAGGTATTTCAGGGGGTCAGCCGTAGCACTAGCCGGGACTTCGGACTAATCACAAATTCTTGCTCTTAATGTATCCTGCAGATCGCAAGTATACCATATTTGAGTGATCTAATGTAGTGCCACATAACTACCTTCATTAGCAGCCATGCATCGATCAACATGTCACCAGAATAAGACCCTCGATATTTATTAGAAAGGAGCATCAATCTCATCACCTTGCACGTTCACCATCATTTATTTAACCTGTAGCCTAAAACTGCATGCTTTCCTGAGTCGTAGTGGGAGGGAGGACCACACAACATAAAGCGTGACTCCAAGTTTACTTCGATGTAATGGTTATTATGTCAATATTTGCGATTAAAGGCGTTTCCACTGACATTTCCCGCATAAAACATTTTATCGAAACAAAAAGATCCCTACACGTCGAACGAACAAATTGTCTTTCGGTAATTCATCCGCATGAAATTGTTGGCTGGAAACCTGGTTAATATAATGGATAATATAATCTGTGGTTAACTTCACGTAACTGGCTTGGCTTTAAAATGAAGGCCTGATTTATTTATGTTGTCAAGAAATGTGCACCATAGCTTCAACAGCAATTTTGTAACTGCGTAGTAGGCTACAAATGTTCTTCCACGTTCACGATATGAGCAAATCACATGGGTTGTACCACGAAATGAGTCACTTTTGGGTAGTGAAACTTAATTTAAAAAACGTTTTCCCAACTAGGTAAAAAATAAAGAATACTATAGTAATTGCCTATTAAGTGCCAAATAAAGTTACATGGTTCACGGTTTCATGTTAAATCAACCAAACATCCCCTTGTGACAGGTGGAATGCAAGCTTGTTATGTGCAACAGGAAATATTCTAGGCTATCCAGTCTATCTATTGGTAACAGTGTTGACGTGTTATTCTCGACCCACTCAGTTTTCCACAACAAAACACCAGAAAATGGCCAGAAAGAATGCAACCAGCTCAACTGCTTTTAGAATATGATTTGACTATTAGATGTTCTTTTGAATTGTTTTATTTTGTTATCACCACATTAAAACTAGAGTTCAGTTCACGTAACAGGGTTTACCTTAAAATGAGGGACGGGTTTAATTTTTTACATTTTTTTTACATTAAAATGAATCACCAATCACATGAAATAAATAATAATCTTCAGAAATGATTTTGTCAAAGCAACAAAATAACTAGGGTTTTACAATCATGGTGAAAACGTGGAGAAATGTTGTGGTCAAGTGGGTTAAAATCTTCCTAGAAGTCAGGGACATGTCAATATGCTGAATTTTGACACTTTAGCACATATTTATTCATATTCAAAATCAGATCTATAGAATTGTCCATGCTATTAAAGTGTCCTTTAATATAACAGGCTTTTCAAATGCAATATTGGTGCACAATTTCTACACAAATATCAAAGGGCAACTCACTCTACCAGCCTATTAAAGCTACAATATGTAACTTTTTGGGCCACCTGACCAAATTCACATAGACATTTTGAGTTATAGCTCTTTCATTTCCTGTTGAAAGCAATTCGAAGAAGCGGTAGATCTATTATATGTGTGCTATTTCTATGCTTCCTGTTCTGAAGTTTAGTTTTTGTTGACCAGCTTAAAACAGCTAAATATACAATATTTTATATATATATATATATATATATATATATATATATATATATATATATATATATATATATATATATATATTTCACTGCGGTTTAGATGGTACAATGATTATCTATGCAATGACTGCTTGTTTTGTCACATAAACTGAAATTAGGCAAACGATTCGAATTTTAGCAGCCAGGAAATGGTGGAGCGATTTCTACATAATGCATCTTTAAACAACGGGACACACTATTTTCATAACCATTTCAATACAAAGGTATTTTCGTAGCAGGTTAGTTTAACCCTAGAGTGGCGTGAAAAGACGCAATGGGGTGATTCTTGATGAAGCAAACACAACTCTGCCTCTTACAGAAGACCTATCTACTTGATAGGATAACTGTCATACTTGTGTCAGAAAGTGGTGACAGCTGCAATCTTGGAAATGTATGCACTATTTCTAAAAGTATCTTTAAATATATATATATACATACAACAAAACTATTCTGATCAATCTGCTGTGCAATACGTGGAATGCGTCAGCAGGCGGTAGCACCCCCAAATTCACGGTGTAGTTTCTCGTCGAGTTTATTCTGTTGCTTCCGTGTCCGGTGAACCGACTTCACATTTGGAACAACTTGTCCACTGTACGGTATGTTCTATCTTCAAATGGCATCTAAACATCCACATTTTAATGTTTGCATTGTATATTCCATTGGGACAGACGATAAAGTTTGATATGAAATACCTGGAATTATGTTTGGTCGAAGATTGGTTCATATCCACTGCAGCTGGGCTCTGACCTTGCTGTGTTGGCTAGCTAACTGCTAGACCTTCATCTGACTCTTGCTCTTTGAACGTAAAATATTATTTTGAATGTCTAAAATATAACTAAATAAGCTGATGATGTAGCTACATTGTTGGATTGTAGTAGCTAGGCAAAGCTAACGACTATTTTCTAGCTAGCCTAACGTTAGCTTAGTAGCGTGAGAGCTAGTTAAAACATTAAATAGCTTGCTATGTGTCAGCAAACATGAGTTTGGCGCTGTCAGAACTTCTATTGGTTTTTTGTGTTGGTTAGGACTCAAATCAGTTAGCCAGATAATAGCAACATCTCTAACATTAGCCACTAGGTGACCATGTTGTTGAGGAGTCCGGCTTGCTAGCTTCTGATCTCAATGAGCTGCCAGTCAGTGTCACCTGTGACTTGAACCTGCCTGATCGGTCAGTGTTCATGACATTACATTAACTGTTTTGTTCTTTCGTGTTATGGTCTGTATCTCTCTTGTGGGGTTTTAGCAGCTATATATAATATTTACCCTTTTTCCAACCTTTTGACAGACGCAGACAGAAAGATGGCTGGGAAACGTGCAGCATTGAAAGCCATTGACTGGTTGGCCTTTGCTGAGAGGGTTCCCCCCAACCAGAGGGCCATGTTCAACAACCTCAAGACGCGCTCAGACGCCATCGGTGCCAAGTACGTAGCCTACCCCGAGTTAGCGTTTAGGCCTAGTTCATGACTAGCACTTCAGAGCCAGCCAACTGAGGACAAACTTTTCACTTGCATTGATGTCAATGGGAAACTGAGTAAAACATTTTTTACGATTCTCCCTTTTAGCTTTTTATATGCCAATGTGAAAGTCATGTAGTTGGAATTGAATTACAAGGTATTGTCAACCAAGACACATAGGTTGCTGCAAAGTGAGTGGGTCTCGTACATGCATGTTAGTGTAAATGAAAAGCTCCACAATCTCACTCCCACAATTATTGTTTTATAAGTGACATCAATGAGCTGTTGTTGATGGCTGTCTCTACAGGCTGTCCTCTCTGCCAGAGAAGCCTGTCACCATCGACTGGAGCTTCTACAAGACCAATGTGGCCAGAGCCGGTATGGTGGCCGAGTTTGAATCCAAGGTGAGATCCCAAGGCCTGTGATGAGTTTTAAATGCGTTCCACCTGGGGAAAATAAAGTTACACACTCTTACTATATTAGTCTTATGTAGTATTCTGTCCACTGTGTGGCATGTGCTGTAACACTGGTTCAGTCTAGGGCTGTTACGGTGGCCATCTTACCGCCACACCGGCAGTCACGAGTCATGATGGCTGTCAAATTCCATGTGACAGTCACGGTAATTAGTCTTCTCCAAGCTCTGATGCTGCTGATGGTAATTAGTAGCCTACCAAACTTGCTAACTGCCTGGTACTCAGCACTCCATTGTCCCTCTAATCACTCTGACATCAATGCAAATGTAATCGAAAATCTAATTGAACAGAGAGCCCATGAGCTCATTTTGCGCAACATTTCTATAGACTATGGAATTGCGTGAGAAAACAGAGTGATGGCCTCTACTAAAAAGAGGACGATCCCATCAACTTTCTATAGGCTAGGCCTTCTATTTATTTCTAAATTTTCCTAATATTAAGCACATTGCTTCTCTTTACAACAGGAGTATAGCCTACCTGGCTGGCATGAAAATGAACCACAGAATAGTGTCCTCCATTCGCTATGTAAGTGCATAGATGACATGTATTTTTTCCCCTGCCCCTGTTTCAAGACAGGTGCATGATAATGGTCCATTCTAAATCAAAACAAATTTTACACATATATTACTTAGTATATGTAAAGACAAAATAAAATAAAGAATAGTGTGATGGGTGACAATATCAGCCTATCACTTGTGAATGATGTATTTGCTGCCGGAAAAAATTGAGGCATTATCAAGTGCTTGTGAAATTGCGAAAGAGAGACTGATGAAGTGTGTACAGCCTGCGCAAAAAAACAAAGCAGAGCTCATGCCTTTCATGTGACTTTTTTCAAATCATCATTAGTCTTATCATGCAGCCTTAGAATGTATAAATAAATCTAAGCATATAGCCCAACTTTTGTATCACAACTTAAGTTGCATAAATAACTCTAAATTAAGCATATAGGAGTACAGTGAGGGAAAAAAGTATTTGATCCCCTGCTGATTTTGTAAGTTTGCCCACTGACAAAGACATGATCAGTCTATAATCTTAATGGTAGGTTTATTTGAACAGTGAGAGACAGAATAAAAACAAAAAAATCCAGAAAAACGCGTGTCAAAAATGTTATAAATTTATTTGCATTTTAATGAGGGAAATAAGTATTTGACCCCTCTGCAAAACATGACTTAGTACTTGGTGGCAAAACCCTTGTTGGCAATCACAGAGGTCAGACGTTTCTTGTAGTTGGCCACCAGGTTTGCACACATCTCAGGAGGGATTTTGTCCCACTCCTCTTTGCAGATCTTCTCCAAGTCATTAAGGTTTCGAGGCTGACGTTTGGCAACTCGAACCTTCAGCTCCCTCCACAGGTTTTCTATGGGATTAAGGTCTGGAGACTGGCTAGGCCACTCCAGGACCTTAATGTGCTTCTTCTTGAGCCACTCCTTTGTTGCCTTGGCCGTGTGTTTTGGTTCATTGTCATGCTGGAATACCCATCCACGAGGAGGTTCTCACCCAAGATTTGACGGTACATGGCCCTGTCCATCGTCCTTTTGATGCAGTGAAGTTGTCCTGTCCCCTTAGCAGAAAAACACCCCCAAAGCATAATGTTTCCACCTCCATGTTTGACGGTGGGGATGGTGTTCTTGGGGTCATAGGCAGCATTCCTCCTCCTCCAAACACGGCGAGTTGATGCCAAAGAGCTCCATTTTGGTCTCATCTGACCACAACACTTTCACCCAGTTCTCCTCTGAATCATTCAGATGTTCATTGGCAAATTTCAGACGGCCCTGTATATGTGCTTTCTTGAGCAGGGGGACCTTGCGGGCACTGCAGGATTTCAGTCCTTCACGGCGTAGTGTGTTACCAATTGTTTTCTTGGTGACTATGGTCCCAGCTGCCTTGAGATCATTGACAAGATCCTCCCGTGTAGTTCTGGGCTGATTCCTCACCGTTCTCATGATCATTGCAACTCCACGAGGTGAGATCTTGCATGGAGCCCCAGGCCGAGGGAGATTGACAGTTATTTTGTGTTTCTTCCATTTGCGAATAATCGCACCAACTGTTGTCACCTTCTCACCAAGCTGCTTGGCGATGGTCTTGTAGCCAATTCCAGCCTTGTGTAGGTCTACAATCTTGTCCCTGACATCCTTGGAGAGCTCTTTGGTCTTGGCCATGGTGGAGAGTTTGGAATCTGATTGATTGATTGCTTCTGTGGACAGGTGTCTTTTATACAGGTAACAAGCTGAGATTAGGAGCACTCCCTTTAAGAGTGTGCTCCTAATCTCAGCTCGTTACCTGTATAAAAGACACCTGGGAGCCAGAAATCTTTCTGGTTGAGAGGGGGTCAAATACTTATTTCCCTCATTAAAATGCAAATCAATTTATAACATTTTTGACATGTGTTTTTCTGGATTGTTTTGTTGTTATTCTGTCTCTCACTGTTCAAATAAACCTACCATTAAAATTATAGACTGATAATTTCTTTGTCAGTGGGCAAATGTACAAAATCAGCAGGTGATCAAATACTTTTTTCCCTCACTGTACCTGTTTCTTTGGTAACCGCTCAACACAGAATAGCCGCATGTGTGCACTCCCTCAAATCCTTTGGAGAAAATATATAATTTTTATTTTATTCAGCTATGTTCAATTGTATTCTTCATACTATAAAATAATGCCACGGAATTCTAAGCAAATCGTGTCTGCTAAATGAACTAGTGTTAGCCCACAGCCATATGGCATAGCCAGATCAGGGCCTAACATAAGGACAACTCAGAGTATGCTATTCTGTTCTTCTGAAACAGACTACATTTTCTTATCATGTTTCTTCAGACCTGTCTAAAATAAAGAATGGATTTATTGTGATGGATTTATTAGACTTTTTCAAATGTAGATGTTCCAAAGGTCTGCATCAGTGGCTTGTAGGCTATTCGTGGAAGCTAGGAGATGCTAAATGTGTTTATGTTAATTAATGGTCAATTACCGTGAGACCTGCAGTTATTTGCTTGACAATCACCGGCTGACAATTTCATGACCGCCCTAGTTCAGTCACAACCATATTAGTCTTATCTGGTATTCTGTCCACTGTGTGGCGTGCTTTAACACTGGTTCAGTCACAACAATATTACATTTACATTTTAGTCATTTAGCAGACGCTCTTATCCAGAGCAACTTACAGTTATTGAGTGCATACATTTTTATTTTATGTATTTATTTGTATTTTTTTTTTTATAAATAAAAAAATCCATACTGGTCCCCCGTTGGAATCGAACCCACAAGCGCCATGCTCTACCAACTGAGCTACACGGGACTATTCGTCTTATGTAGTATTCAGTGTGGTGTGGTGTGCTGTAACACTGATTCAGTCACAACACTATTAGTCTTATGTAGTATTCAGTGTGGTGTGCTGTAACACTGGTTCAGTCACAACAATATTAGTCTTATGTAGTATTCAGTGTGCTGTGCTGTAACACTGGTTCAGTCACAACAATATTAGTCTTATGTAGTATTCAGTGTGGTGTGCTGTAACACTGGTTCAGTCACAACAATATTAGTCTTATGTAGTATTCAGTGTGGTGTGGCATAACACTGGTTCAGTCACAATATAACTAAGTTGTTTCAGAGATCTACCCCCAAGGGGGAAAAAAAAAAGAAAAGTTGTTTCAGAGTAGAACATGTTATCGTTGATCCCTATCAGACATCGATGTGATCATTATGATGAAATACGTTCTTGGACCAGGGACGGTACTGGAGCTACATGCTTCAATCAATCAAATGTATTTATATTAGTGTTGTCATGGTACCAGGAAGTAAGGAAGCAAAGGAAACAACATGAAGCGGACAAACCTTCTCCAGGAAAACACATCTCCTGACCTCCTCATCTCACCCCTCCCCCTCTCCTGTCCTCATCTCATCTCTCCTCTCTCCATCTCCTGTCCTCCTCAGTTCTCAGCCCTGACCATCCCTGAGCCCAAGGACACAGCCACAGCCGCGATCAACACACAGGAGGCCGAGGCGGTGAGTAGTAGCTCTGGATTAAAAGCTAATGTGCAGAATGACTCATCACTGTTCTGCTGTACTGATTCAGAATGACTCTTCACTGTTCTGCTGTACTGATTCAGAATGACTCTTCACTGTTCTGCGGTACTGATTCAGAATGACTCTTCACTGTTCTGCTGTACTGATTCAGAATGACTCTTCACTGTTATGCTCCTCAATCCTGTAGGGATACAACATAATCAAGCTGTGCATCATTTGAGTGGTAGCTGGACCACTGGTGTGAAAAGCTATTGTAGAAAACTGTAGGATAAATCTACAGTACTGATTCAGGATGACTCTTCACTATGCTACTGTATTAATTCAGGATGACTCTTCTACTGTATTGATTCAGGATGACTCTTCACTGTGCTACTGTATTGATTCAGGATGACTCTTCTACTGTATTGATTCAGGATGACTCTTCTACTGTATTGATTCAGGATGACTCTTCACTCTGCTACTGTATTGATTCAGGATGACTCTTCTACTGTATTGATTCAGGATGACTCTTCACTGTGCTACTGTATTGGTTCAGGATGACTCTTCTACTGTATTGATTCAGGATGACTCTTCACTGTGCTCCAGTTCATTCCTGTATTAATATTACAGTAGCAAACTAATTAATAATACACTAAATGTGTATTATGGCACTTTGACTCAGACACTTTTATGTTGTATTGTTCATTGTCATGGATGAGGTGGTGAGAAATGGGTTCAGAGTTCCATTTCAAGAGAAAAAAGCCTCATTATGCAAAGCACCGTAACTGCTCTTGAGGCTTCCTTCATTATTATTGGTTATCTTTCTTCTTTGTTGCAGAACAAAGCTGCTGTTGCCTACGTCGAGGCTTCCAAAGCTCGCATCGCCCAGTATGGGAAGGAGGTGGGTTACACGCACGCACACACTCCCCTACACACGGATTTCCCTAGACTTTCTCTTCATATTTTAGGATATTAGTACACACTCAACAGTAGAACCCCTGAGAACAACTGCGGTATTTAGAGACATGTAGTTCTCTTCTCTCTGTTGATCCACCTTCCTGTCTTCCAGCTGGAGAAGTTCCAGAACATGATTCCCTTCGACCAGATGACCATCGATGATCTGAACGACACGTTCCCCGAGACCAAGCTGGACAAGGAGAAGCACCCGTACTGGCCCCACAAGCCCATCGCTGAGCTGTAAACTAAAAGCCCCCAGCGCTTTCCAAATATTATACTTTCCTCTGATGAAAGGTTGTATAGTGTCCTGTGTATAAAGTCTAGTCCTGTTTCATCTACAAAGACAGTTTGTGAAATTACTCAACTGTGAGTAAGGTAATCTGGTCCTTTGAATGGAAATAAACATTTATGGAAATTGAATATGATTTGTGTTATTATTTTGTGTAACGTTTATTTAACAAAAGTCTCTGAAGCAGTTATAGTGGTTAAACTATTTTGCGAGGGCACAATTGTATGTCCAACTCATGAAAGGCTTTTCCATAATCACTTAGGACGTTTAGAGTAAGGGAATATCCTGATGTATCAGGCTGAGGCAGACGTACTGTGAGTTTCTGTCGGACAATCTTCTCCGTTGTCCATCTGTCCAAGTGAGTTCCCTCCAGAGAAGATCCCACCGTCTCCTTCTGGGAAACAGTAAGGGAATATGCTGATGCTTTGTGTTGATTCAGTAACATGCAGTATAACTGTTGGATACCATATAGACAATGTCTAACAATGGGTATATCCCAAATTGCACCCTATTCCCTATATAGTGCACTACTTTTGACTGGGGCACTGGTCAAAACTAGTGCACTATATAGAAAATAGGGTGGTATTTGGGATGTAACCACTAATGAGACTGAGTATACTTTGAACAAATCTCTGACTGTTATTTGGAGAAACTGTAAATGACTTGTCTGTGTCAATCCAACTCACAAGTCATGGGAAAAGGCCTTGTTTCCTGTCCTCTTGTGTTTTCTCATGTCTACAGGTAGGTAGCCTTGATCATTCCGCTGAGGTGTGACAGGGGCCTAGTTCAGAAACAGCCCCCCCACCCATACTACCTAGACCATCTCAATCCTTTCAAATCTACATCCGTGTACCAAATGACATCCTAATCTCTTGTGGCGCAGTGGTCTAAGGCACTGCATCGCAGTGCTAACTGTGCCACTAGAGATCCTGGTTAGAATCCAGGCTCTGTCGCAGCCGGCCGCGACCGGGAGACTCATGGGCGGCGCTCAATTGGCCCAGCGTCGTCCAGGGTAGGGGAGGGAATGGCCGGCAGGGATGTAGCTCAGTTGATAGAGCATGGCGTTTGCAACGCCAGGGTTGTGGGTTCGATTCCGACGGGGGGCCAGTATAAAAAAAAAAAAATGTATTCACTAACTGTAAGTCGCTCTGGATAAGAGCGTCTGCTAAATGACTAAAATGTAAATGTAATGATCAAGTGTTGTCTGTGTGTTCTTACTGTATATTCTGACTGTGTTCTTACTGTGTGTTCTTACTGTATGTTCTTACAGTGTGTTATTACAGTGTGTTCTCACTGTATATTCTTACAACAAACATTAAATAATGTTTTCCAGCAGGGGGCAGCATTTGTCTGTAATACAGCTGGTTGGCTAAATAGTATCAGATACTTTAGCTGTGCTTGCCTGGAGCAATTTAAGCAACAGACTAGTCCCAAAAGTGCAAACCCTGCCCATCTGGCACTCCAGGTAAGCTCAATCAAAACGGTCAAATCAAATACTATTTGAACCTAGGTCTGCTGTGAAACCTCTGTCTTTCTCCATCTCACTGCAGGTTGATGGGGAACCAGGACAGAGAGAGGAGTCCTCCTCCCCACCCGGCAGTGAGGAGTCTGGGGTTAGCACGTCACCGTGGGTCCAGGCTCTGCTTGCTCACTAGGCCACAATAGGGGCTGCATTGTCTCTTTGTCTCTGCCTTTCTCTCGCTCTCGCTCTCACTCTCTCTTTCTCTATCTGGCACAAACAAAGGTGCGATTGTTGCATGATTTTTAGACCTCACTGAATGGGTCCAATGGAAATGCCATTGAGGAGGGAGGGAGGAATTTACCAGACCGTTCCTGTCTAATGGACATAGGTCTGGTTGTTGACTAGGAATCAGTCTTATATTGCATTACATGTTTTAGTATAATATGATCTTATTTAAGTGAAAATTCATTTTATCCAGGGGCCTCTCCAGCTAAGTCATTACATAACCTATTCATGTGCACACTGAATGAAAAATAGCCTTTTTATTTCTGTGCAGCTTGCGGCTGTGGCATTTAAGATATTTCATTTGATCAGATTATTTGTAATTGAGTGTATTGCCGGAACAGTTAGGGATAACATCTCCAAAGTTATAAACCACACACACAGTTTAATTCATGTCAATGTAATTCTACTCTCATTATAGCATATTCATTGAGTAATATGATAATGCTGTCTTCGTAATATCATTAGTAATGTGGTACCACCCTTGTGACACTGCCACACACACACACACACACACACAACTGTGTCACCGGAGGTCACTCACACTTAGAGATCTCTATACTGACCAACCATATAGAATAGATTAGAGTGGATTAGAATATATTAGATTTGAATAGAATCGATTAGAATATAACAGAACATAATATATTAGAGTAGAATATAATATATTAGAATAGAATAGATTAGAATAGAATAGATGAGAATAGAATAGAATATATTAGAATATAATATATTAGAATATAATATATTAGAATATAATATAAATATTAGAATAGACTAGAATGTAATAGAATAGAATATAATAGATTAGAATATAATAGATCTGAATAGATTAGAATAGAAGGAGATTGTTCCCAGAGGGAACTTCAGTAGATGCTTAGACCAGCTGGGTGGACTGAGGTTCAATACACAACTCCTTGCTAGAAGAGGTTTTCTCTAGTCTAAACTGACTGGTTCTTTACAGTATCCATAGTTATAGTATGGATACTGACTTCTGTCATGGAGCAGGTTCTGTCTCTAGTCTGCCTGCTAACAGGTGATCTAGAGCCTCTGGCTTCCCCTACAGGGAGGTGAAGAAAGAGTTCAGCCTGTCCCTGCCTGCGCACACGTACATCAGCCCACGTTCACATCACCCTCACCCTCCCTGGGTGTTAGGTCAGTGTGGTGGTGGTGGACGCCGGGTTTCAATATTGCTCCACACTCTCCAACCCTCCATTTCTCCATCAGTAATTCTACTTTAATTAATTCCCTGCCAGATGGAAGTTCTAGTGTTTTTGTTGTTTCAATGAAATGCTGTGTGATGTCTTTTTTTATGAAATCGGATTGGTGGTGAACTGATATGCTTTGCTACAGTGCTGCGCTGAAGGAGGCAGGAATGTTGATAACTCTAGAAGGCTTACAGTTCGTAAGCAGTAGCCATGGAGATAGTTCTCACACAATGGTGGCCTTTTAGAACCACAGAGGTGTTCTCATTGAATCACTGTGGTACTGTGGTGTGATATTAGGAAAGACCTTCTTCCCCTTTCCTCTGTTCTGTTTATTATGGGATTAAGTGGTGACCATAGCGATTTACCCAGACTCACATTATTATTGACTGGCCAGAGTATTAAATAGAGTTTTAATAAAGTCAAAGCTTTTCATGATTAGATGTAAAAGGGATGAGTCACGTAAAGGAGCTGGGTTTCATTAATGGACTATTTTGGGTGCACACATACACACACACACACACGCACACACGCACACATACACTCATGCACATGGCAGTATTACAGGGAACCTCTAAACCACATGATTTGAATTATGATTTATTTTCATATCTTTATTAGCTTTTCTGTTGTCTTTCTCCTGCGTTGTCTCAGAGTGGGTCTGTCCAGTTAGGAAGAGGACAATGTGAGGGCTTGTGTTGTTGTTAAGAGAAACCAACCGGGCATAGCCATCATGACTCTCTCTCTCTCTCTCTCTCTCTCTCTCTCTGAGAAGTTATTATTATTGCCAGAGAGAGAGAGAGAAGTTATAATTCTCCTCATATGATCCAGATTATTATCAGGAAAACAAAACCTAATTTCCTTCTCACAATACCATCAATGGCCTTCCTGACTGGTTCTGGTCTGGCTGGTTCTGGTCTGTCTGGTTCTGGTCTGACTGGTTCTGGTCTGGCTGGTACTGGTCTGGCTGGTTCTGGTCTGGCTGGTGCTGGTCTGGCTGGTTCTGGTCTGACGTGCTGTTCTGGCTGGTCTAGTCTGGCTGGTACTGGTCTGACTGGTACTGGTCTGGCTGGTTCTGGTCTGGCTGGTACTGGTCTGACTGGTTCTTGTCTGGCTGGTACTGGTCTGGCTGGTCTGACGGGTACTGGTCTGATGGGTACTGGTCTGACTGGTTCTGGTCTGGCTGGTACTGGTCTGACTGGTTCTGGTCTGGCTGGTTCTGGTCTGGCTGGTACTGGTCTGACTGGTTGTGGTCTGGCTGGTGCTGGTCTGGCTGGTACTGGTCTGACTGGTTCTGGTCTGTCTGGTACTGGTCTGGCTGGTTCTGGTCTGGCTGGTACTGGTCTGGCTGGTTCTGGTCTGGCTGGTTCTGGTCTGGCTAAGGGACAGCCACTGTTGGTGCTGGTCTGACTAGGGGACAACTACTGTCGGTGCTGGTCTGACTAGGGGACAACCACTGTTGGTGCTGGTCTGGCTAGGGGACAACCACTGTTGGTGCTGGTCTGACTAGGGGACAACCACTGTTCTTCCATATTGTTATAGTGTTTTTAACGATGAAGTTGTTAATGTTCTTTGAAAATAGACACGTAAAAAGATTCTGGGGATGAGCCTGCCCATCTTCAATATGTACCCACTGTTCCTCTTTAGTGTTTTTAACGCAAGTAAAAGCCTTGAGTAGTGAGTTGAAACCACCCTCGGACTTAGGAAGATGTCCTTTTTATTCTGTGAATTGTATTTGCCCATATAAAGTCTGTTATAACCGAGTATACTTTTTAAAAGAACGTCTTCGGTGTGGTAACTGGTATTACCGAAAATAATACAAAAACTTTGGCAGCCATGACATTCTATAGAGGTTTATTCTACCTGTAAGATTTATGGGGAAATTATTCCATGTATTTACAGTGTCCTCCGTAATTATTGGGACAGTGAAGCATTTTCTCTTATTTTGTCTCTATACTCCAAAAGTTTGGATTTGATATCAAACAATGACTATGAGGTTAAAGTGCAGATTGTCAGCTTTAATTTCAGGGTATTTTCATCCATATCAGGTGAAATGTTTAGAAATTACAGCACCTTTTGTACATAGTCCCCCCTCAAAAGTATTTGGACAAATTCACTTACATGTTTATTAAAGTAGTACAAAGTTCAGTATTTGGTCCCATATTCATAGCACGTAATGATTAC